GCATCGCGTGAACGATGTGCAAACTCTAATACCTGATGCCAAGTGGCATCATGTTCCGACTCATCAGAATCCCGCGGATCTAGCATCACGCGGAGTTACCGCTTCCTCGTTCGCGGAGAGCTCACTGTGGTGGCAAGGCCCCGAGTGGCTCAAGCTTCCTTCAAGTATGTGGCCGAATGAATCTCGGCAAGATTACGACACCTCGCTCGAAAAACGTTCGACCCTTGTCGTACAAACTCTCGATATCGAATCTCAATGGGACTTAGCTTCCCGCTATTCTTCATGGCCGAAGCTTCTTCGCATAACGGCCTATCTAATCCGCTTTATTAATAAGCTTCGAAATCGTATATACAAAAAGCGGTCGTCAACCGACGAATCCGACTCTATTCCATCCGATATAATTTCGGTGGACGAATACAAACACGCGCGACTATTTTGGTTACGCGTCATTCAACAAAATCTTTTTCTCGATGATGTGCGTCGATTAAAAAATTCGAAACCCGTAGCGAAAACTAGCAAACTAATCTCACTTAATCCATTCTTGGATGACGATGATTTAATTCGCGTAGGCGGTCGATTACGAAAATCCGACCTTTCATATAACGCTAAATGTCCTCTCATTCTAGCAGCACATCCACTCGTTACGTTGATAATTCAACACGCTCATCTGCGTTCGCTCCACGCGGGCACGCAACTAACATTATGTGTTTTACGCGAAGAATTTTGGATTCTTCGCGCTCGTCAAACGGTTCGAGCCGTCTTGTATCGTTGCATTACTTGCACGCGCGAAAAGGCGGTTATCCCCAGTGAACTCATGGGCGATCTCCCGCCAATGCGCATTCGACAAGTCGATCGCGCATTCTTACATTGCGGACTTGACTATGCCGGGCCCGTTCCTGTCAGATTAAATTCAGGCCGTGGATACAAATCTCAGAAGGCCTACATTGCCGTATTCGTCTGTATGACGACGCGCGCAATACATCTCGATTTAGTCAGCGATTATACTACCGCCGCGTTTCTCGCAGCATACGCGCGCTTCTGCTCTCGGCGCGGGATGCCGACCGATTTATATTCCGATAACGCAAAGAATTTTCGCGGAGCTGATCGCGAATTGAAAGCTGCAATTCATGCAGCAAAACAAGATTCAAACTTGCGAAGCAAACTGTCGTGCGACGGTGTCCGTTGGCACTTCATTCCCCCTTCCGCGCCTCACTTCGGAGGCCTATGGGAAGCCGGCGTTCGCAGCGTCAAATATCATCTCAAACGCGTTATCGGTTCACACACACTGACATTCGAAGAGCTTACGACGCTGCTCTATCAAATCGAAGCGTGCCTCAACTCACGTCCGATAGCTCCGATGTCAGATAATCTTGATGATTATTCATGTCTGACACCGGGTCATTTCTTAATTGGTAGCGCTCTCACAACGCCGCCATCTCCTACGCTACTAGAAACAAAAGAAGCGCGTCTGACTCGTTGGCAACTCGTGAAGCAAAAAGGCGAAGTTATTTGGAAAGCATGGTCAAATGATTATTTAACCGGATTACAACAGCGCTCAAAATGGCGCGTCGCTCAAAAACTCGCTCGAGTCGCACGCTTAGTTCTTTTGCGCGATCCCCTTGCACCACCGTGCAAATGGGAACTCGGTCGAATCATTGAATGCCACACCGGAGACGACGGATTAACGCGCGTCGTCACTGTGAAAACGTCAAAATCGACGTATAAA